CTCCCTGTTTGTGCCATCGATTAGTGTGACAATCAGTTTCAGCTTGTTCCGCTACACTTGGTATAAACTGTTGAGATTGACTAGATTCATGGGACTCACCGGCTGTATGCTGAGGGGGTCCGTGATGACGGTCTGCTGAGTGTTCTGCCTGTTTTGGAAGTCCAGAAAGTAACTTTGTTTCAAGAACCGCAATCCTTTGTAGAAGTTTGTGGCACTTCATGCAACAAGTAGATTCAACAGGAGGCATTTTATTTCTCTTCTATTTGAATGTAGGCAGCTGTGTTTTCCCTTCTCCGGAATGTAAGCTGCTGGCAGTGGGAGGAAAAGTCTTCTTTTTCGTTGTGTTATTCCATGCAGTCCCAAAGAGTTTTTAGTTTTAGTGTTTGTGCCAAAAATGTGTTGTTTGAGCACTGTGCTGCTCTGCTGAAGTAAAAAGCTTAGAAAAATACAGAAATAGGAAGCAAAGCGCAGAGCAGTAAGCGAGAACGTCCGAACGGTAGTGAAGCCGGAAGCAAAAGAAATGTGATTAATCAGACCTGGCCACCTTCTTCCATTGCTCTGTAGTCCAGTTCTGATGCTTACGTGCCCATTGTTGGCACTTTCGTCAGTGGACAGGGGATAGCATGGGCACCCTGACTGGTCTGCGGCTATGCAGCCCCATTCGCAACAAACTGAGATGCACTGTGTATTCTGACACCTTTCCATCAGAACCAGCATTAACTTCTTGAGCAATTTGGGCTATAGTAGCTCGTCTGTTGGATTGAACCACACGGGCCAGCCTTCGCTCCTGACGTGCATCAGTGAGGCTTGGCCGCCCATGACCATATCGCCGGTTCACCACTGTTCCTACCTTGGACCACTTATAAAATATAAATATAAAATATAATTGTTTCATTAACTTGATGCATTAATTCATTACTTGACTGAAAATTATTCACATCTCATTTTTATTATCTGTGTGTTGTTGTTGTCTCCGTGTACTGGAAGCTTGTGACACTATAACACATTCCTTGTATGTGCAAATGTACTTGGCAATAAAGCTCTTTCTGATTTCTTATGTTCTTTTTTTATTATTACTGCAGAACTTATAATTACATACAAGCTCAGGGAAAGATGGTTGTATCTTTAACAATGAACAATCATAATGACAAACAGCAGAAAACATAAATATAATGGGTTTGCATACATCATAGTAAATTATATTCACAGAAAAAGAGGCACAATGACAAGGTTAAATATCTTTAAATATTCATATAATCAATGCATCATAATATTGCATTTGTTGTTGTTGTTTATAAGCCAGAGGGATGGCACATAAAATATATATATTCAAGAGATAACAATTTTGGGTTATCGTAAGGAAAAATAATATATTTAAGGATTAAACTGCGGGTCATATTATGAGTAGGGTTAATTACATAAAAATGTAAATAAACCCCAAATGTATTGGTTATTCTACAATCACAATAAAAGGCCGGGCAGCTGTTTCTTCAACAAGACCACAAAATGAGGAAATTTCATAAACATCTAAATATTTACAGAGAGATCAATTAAACCTGCCGCTGGTATCTTTTAAGTTGTTGCGATTGTAACATCGTAGATCACATGATAATGTCAACATGGCGGATGAAGTCCAGATCGCATTCATACTTAACGAGATTTGGCTGTAGAGTACCTACTCTTTTAGCGCTCGTTAAGTAAGTACTTATTGAAATTAAGTAAGTACTTCTTGAAATTAAGTATTGAGTAGGCGGTTTCGGACGCAGCCAAAATGTTCACTTGCTGCCTAATATATCCCACCCACTAACAGGTGATGTGATTAAGTGATAATCAGTGTTATTCACTTCACCTGTCAGTGGTCATAATGTCATGCCTGATCGGTGTGTGCGTGTGTGTCTCTCTCTCAGTAGTGCACACCATAAAATAGTGTGTACAACTAAAAAAACTTGTTTTACTCCAAACCCTAATCAAATCATAATAATAAATTATTTAAAAAGTAAATAATAAAGTAACAAAAATATATATTTAATTTAAAATTGTATAAATAATATAATTAATGCTAACGTAACTACACTTTCTCAAAATTGTTTTTTATTATTTTTTTTTTTTACTTTCTCAAAAAGTGTTGCTTCGTTCTCGAAAACAAACAACTACCTTTCACTTTGGAGTTTGCACGGTTTATGTAACCAATCTTTTCTACGCTAATGTGACTAAGAAAAAGTATCTACAATTATTAATTGAAATTAGCTAAAATATATTTAAAACTTTACACAGTTACTACGCTTTCACAGTAGAACTCGGGACTGCGTCTATTATCCAAAACGGGTCTAAAAACAGATGGGACTTTATTATTCTAACTGCCTAGTTCAGTGCCATAATACAAGATGCACATGTGCTGCCTGTTGTCCTTGCACTAGTAGCGGCCTGCTGCTGCTCTCGTGTGAAGAAAAAGGAGGGATCCACGCGCCTCCTTCTGATCGGCTGATTGGTCGAGCGCTGAATCTGGGCAGGACAGGAAACGGGAGGCGAGGCACGCGCAGCAATCTCCGTTCTCTGGGAGAGAGAATGGGAGAGGAAACCGAAATGTGTCAATAGAAGACTGGTAGAATGATATCGGGCAAATGAATAATTTGCCTTTTTGGTATACATACCGCAGTGTTCAGCACCAGGGACGTGGGATATTTACCTTTAACATTCTTATAAATAATTATCGGCTGTTTTCATTACATAAAATAATTGCAGAGCTCTTCGCCGCTGGGTAGGTAAGTGGCTACTATCATCTCGTCTTTCTGTCTGATACTCATACATAGGCTTTAACTTGTGCGGCGTTCTGTTGTAAAAGTTAGGTTTACATTAGGAAAGGCCTGGAAGATCCCATTCTAAACAAACTGGCTTAGTTATACTGTCTGCTGTTATTGTTTGTTCTTATAGAAAATTGCCTGGACAAAAAGACATGGAGCGTGTTAAAGAAAGGGGGCGAATTCATCTTAGTCATTTGACAATGGGACCTTTGCACAAAAGCTCTCCATAATCAGTCAATGAATTTTGCTGACCAGGTGGGAGTTAGTTTGTAGAACTGTAATAAGCTCGTGTAATTATCCACATTTGGCTTCATTTCCAGTTGAGTTAAAGAAAGCAGGGTTGTTCTGGGTGTGTGTAGCCTATATGTACTGTGTGGTCCAGTGATCAATGTGACATTTTGAGCATTTGATCAGTGCAGCATGTTACATTTATTCACCAAAAACACTTTACCAGAGAATAAAAAGGCCGTCACGTGTTTTCATTCAACGCTGCATGTCGGCTTGATCCTGGGTGTGTTCATAACGCCCATAAATTTCATGCCCCCTTCACCCCACGTTGGTGTAGGGAGTCGTTTTATTTTCGCGCATTGTAATTATGCTTCCATCTCTGCGCTTTCAAATGAATATTACTTGAGACAATGTTGTCATCTTGCTGGTCTCCACCCTATCGAGCCCGGAGGCTAGCATGTAGTTTCTGGATTTTAAACCATTCGATAATCCTATAGGGTTAAAAAAGGAATGAACGCAGTTTATTGAGGTATTGGGATGGGAAATGTAGGCTATGTAAAGATTTTCTGCACGTTTAACGTGGCCATCGTGTCCAGACTGTGCTCATTGTCCTGTTACAGTCACACAAGTCATAAATGTTTTTGTCACATGTCCGTTTTCAAGTATTTTCAATGTCGCTTTTAATGTAATTCTTCATCCATATCAATGAATGGTCATTTAATCGTGACTATGCTGCGCCCATGTTCCTGTTAAAGTGGGAGTAAATATAATTGTTTATCCTCAGAAGAATAATCTTGTTACTCCTGACACAGGGTATGTAAACAGGGATTGTCCCTTACAAGCCTGGTTCATGAGAACAGGGACATATTAATCAAGCCTTGTTGTTTATTGGGGAGATACAAGTGCTACTTTTTACTAGGGCTGGGCGATTTTGCAAAATATCAATCTCAATTTTTCCAGAATGTTTGACCGATTCTCGATTTTTTTTAACGATTTTTAGCTAGTCAACTTGAAAATGTACCCATGATTCAAGTTACTTTTTCTTTATTAATCCTTTAGCTAAAGAAAATTGTATTCTAAGAGCAGCACAAGTTGTCAACATGATGTAAATGTTAAACAAATCACTATCATTAACTATAAATGTTCTGTAAAAACAACAGCAGCTTTCAGCCTGTCACCATGATGCAAACATGAAATATCAGACATACAGTAGTAGTTCTTTACAGGTTTTTTATTCGATTGCGCTGCTTTTCCATTGTTTTTTCGGTGTAAACATGGATGTGTTTGACTGTTGTGCTCGCGTCTCTTGCAGTGTCTCATGCATGAAACGCCATTCTAAAAACACTGCGCTCAAGTTAAAATAAGTTCACTCCCATATTCTTGCATGTTTTACCTATTCCACTGCCCGCTTCGCATCTTTGTCAAAACAAAAGCACTGTGTGAATGATGCCTAGCGTTACATTTATGGTCCTTCACAGAGCGCGTCACATGTGAGCGGTTAATCACGTGCACCAACATGTGGTTGGATCGTTCTTTTCTCTTTACTGTTATCACCGGCATATTGTCAAAGTGTCTAATTCTAGCATTTGGTAATATTTCTATTCAAAATCGCGATTCCTCGATTTCTAAAAAATTAAATCGTGGCAAAACAATAAATTCGAATTAATCGATAAAATCGGGAAAATCGCCCAGCCCTACTTTTAACGTGTTTATTGTTCATGGACACACCTCAGTTTTATAGTTTTAAATTATTTATGAGCTTTTAACATCATTACAGGACATGTCTAATCAGGATGTAAAACTGTATTTTTACATGATAATTTCTGCACAATATGTAACATAATTTAAAGGGGGTCATATGATGCTATTTTAAATATCATTATTTGTTGTAACAAAATGTTGACATGCTTTAATGTTCAAAAAACACATTATTTTTCAAATACTGTACATTATTGTAGGTCCTTAATGCCCCGCCTCTCTCAAACAGTAGTTTTCAACAAAGCCCCCTCCTTTGACAAGCGCAGTCTGCTCTGATTGGCCAGCTGACCCAGTGCATTGTGATTGGCCGAACACCACAAGCACGCGTCGGAAATGTAACCATACCATAATGTTACCATAATTGTGAGCGTCAGCTTTCAAAGCGTGCACATTTGGGCGGCATTATGCTAATATTTCCACATAGTGAGGTAGATATGTGGGGGTGTGTTAGAACGAGCCGTATTAGGTAGGCGTGGTTGACTTAACTTTTATAAAGAATATCTCTTTGGATTTGAGACTTTAGTCTTTGTAACTTTACAGATCTTCTTTATGCACACACCAAAGAGAAAGGAAAAATTTTAATTGCATCATATGACCCCTTTAAGTAAATTTGACAAGATCCACTGAGGGATGTCCATGCTTTTCAAGTGCTTCTGCCAAATAAAAGGCCATGTAGTGAGAGATTGAATCATAGGAAGTTTCTTAGTAAATTCTTGGGTCACTTTTTCCTCTTTCTTTTTAAGTCTGTACTTTCAGTCTGCTCTTGTTGTTCACTGTCAGAGCGTGTTGTCGGCATCCTTGATAGCTATGGGCAGAAAGGTGGGATGTAGTCTGTAAATTGCTGACCTTAAGAAAATAAGTACTTGGTCCATGTTTTCCCCATTTTTCTCAGTTCCTTGTGCACTGCCAAGCAGAGAAGGGAATGCATGGTCTTCTAGGCATGAGTGTGGACAAAGCAGTTTAGATGAGAAAAACAGCTGTCGCTAATGCATTTCAGCGACACAAATATTCAAGTCATCTGTATGGTGATCTGTTTAACTAAACATGCTTTTACAGTTAATGCCAAATTTGCAGGAGATAATCCAGCTTTACATGGGGCTGTTTTATACAGTACAACAACTCCATCCTCTAGTGGATACATTTCTTAAAATAAAGTTTTGTTATTTTATAGTTTATAGGTTTTTATTTGATTTAATCTCTTTAAAAAATCGAAAATGGAGACTTTGAGTTGGAAGACCTGGGGCCACACAAAAGTCTCAGATGTTAGTTGGTATTATTTTACCAAAGCTCCCCCTCAGAAAAGGGGGCAGACCTTCAAAGAGAACTGTAACCCTCCGTGAAACAGTCACCAGGGAAAGTGAAACCAGATAGGTCTTCAGCAGCTACAAGGACCCGCAATGGAGCACCTGGAGGCCAGCGAATTACCTGCTGGTATAAATGCTTGGCACCAATCATCAGGTGTGCTTGGTCCTTCACTTTCAGGCCATCCAGAGCCAAACTCTTCACACTCGGCTGTCTCTGATTTCCCTGAAGTAACTTGCCCAGCGTTAACTCCCGAACAGAACTGATTAAGAAAATTTTGAGACTGATTTAGCCAGGACTGTACAGATTTTAATAAATACAAGCATATTATTTTATTTTGCATATTAGAATTCTGTGGCTTTGGACATTGGGGAGATAAGAAACTAAAAGAAACTGTGAGTTGTGTGTCTGTTATTTTTAGACTAATTTACCATGCATAAACTGCATTTACTATCCACTTATTAAATAAATTGCTTCAGGAGAACAATAGGCTTAACAGTGTAATTGTGAAGAAATTGATGTACAGAGCAGATTAGGCTACACATTAAGATTCATCCTCATTAAAGGGATAACCCAAAAATTCTGTCACCATTTATTCACGCTCATGTACAGTGGGTATAGAAAAGAATCACACTCCTTTAAAATAATCACATTTTGTTGCAGCCTGAAATGAAGATGGACCCAGTTTTGTTTTATTCAGCTGTATTTACTCTGTGCAACTTATAACATATAAGTGAAAGATATAATACCAAGTTAGTAGAGACATATCACAACTGACTAAAGGCTGTAATAAAAGCAAAAGGTGGTTCAACAAAATACTGACACAAGGGGGTGATCCTTTTTCCAGCTCGATTGTTTTTTTGTTTTTTTTTCTTGCATGTTGCTGTTATATCTTCCACTTGGATGTTATAAGTTGTAAAATACAGCTGGATAAAACAAAAACTGTCCGTCATCATTTCAGGCTGCAAAGCAACAAAATGTGATTATTTAAAGGGAGGGGGGGGCATTCTTTTCTGTGCACTGTAAATTCAAACCGATATGACTTCTGTGGAACAAATTTTATTTATTTATTTTTTAGAAATGTCTGTGTTTTTTGTCCAAACAGTGTAGTAAGTCAATGCTCACCAATACTGTTTGTTTAGTTACCAACATTTTTCAAAATATATTATTTTATGTTTCACAGAAGAAAGAAAGGCATACAAGTTTGGAATGACATAAGGATGAGTAAATGATGACAGAATTTTCATTTTTGGGTGAACTATTCCTTTAATAGATTTGGTGTAACATTACAAATCATGAGATCAGTCCTACATACACAGTTTAAATAAATGGCAGAGGCTAAATAAAAAAAGTGTGAAAAGGCACAATTGTGTGTGAAGCTGCTTTGAAAGAAGGTATATTGTAAACAGAGCCATACAAATAAAAATGACTTGACAAGTGCATTTGCATGCATTTTAAAGGTTTGATTTTGAGTCGAACTCAAACAATAACAGACCTACAGTACACACTGTGATTGTTCTTGGCTTTGTCCAGCATGTATGTATGTTAATCAGACTACAGTTATCCCCATGTACACTTAATAGACAGAAGTAACAACGCTATATTGTATAATCCTTCAAATATTCAATTATGCAGTGTCATGTATATTGCAGAGATGAAGACTGTAGTT